CCAGCACAAATAGAGGCGTTAGGCAGAATCCTGTCAAAACCTCCAGGTTACGGACTTGTTTGTTTCTATAATTTATTATTTCCTGGAACATCTCTCACAGGGTTTGTATAAAGTATCTTATGCATATAAACTAATGACTGCTTCCTTTACTTGCAAGAATGACTCACTGTTAACAGCAAAGAGGGCCGTGAACACACACACGGGGACAGCTCCCATCAAGACGGACTGATCAGATCATGGCTGTGCTTCTTCCAGTAGTTCTGGTGTCAGAAATGCAGACGTAACCTCCGACTCTGCACGTCACACTTCCTGGTTGGTCCCCACTTTCTTCCTGACCTGAGTGGATCCCTCCGAACCAGTAACCTCTCTACATTGATCATTATGCTTCATTTATTTTTAAATTAAATTATATTTTATTTTTTAAATTAATGTGTAGTTTATCTGCAGCATTATATTTGTTTTAGGCATACAACATAGTGATTCAATTATTGTTGTAGACTGTATTTCATTTAAAGTTATTATAGCATTTTGGCTATTTTCCCTGTGTGGTACAATATATCCTCACATCTGATTTATTTTATACATAAAAGGTGCATATTTTGTACCTCTTACTCCTCTTTCCCTGTCTTGCCCTTCCTCTCTCCTCTCCCTGCTGGTAACCTCTAGTTTCTTCTCTGTAGAATTTCTGTAGACTTTTTGAGGATAGCCATTCTGACAGCTGTAAGGTGCTATCTCATTGAAGGTTTTGATTTGCACTTCCCTGATAACTGAAGGAGTCTTTGGGCCTAGAAAAGAGAACAATAGTCTCAAAGGCCCTTGCTGAATCATCTAACTTCAGACAAAACAAAGCCTAACTTTAGTCCTGCCCTGATGCTCCAGGCCGGTTGCATCTCTCTGGGACTTATCACCCCCTGTCCAGAAACCTTCCACCCCCTCCACCCACCCAGAAGACTCATCACTCCCTGCCCAACAAAAATGCCATCTCAACTAAAGAATACTCAAAACATCCCACCTGATTAACGTTTCCCTTATCGCTTCCACAAACCTCCCTATAAATCTGGAGCCTCCCTGATCCCTCTTGGGGCTCAGCCTGGTCCTTAGGCCAACTGTTGCCCCTCCTTGCCTGAATAAAGGTTGCCTACTTCCATTGAAGTCGTCTCTCCTTCTTTTCTGCCTTGGCCCGAACTACACCTTACAGTAATTAGTGATGTTGGGGGATTATTATGCTTTAATTCCTGCAGCAGAACGATAATAACTTTCTCAATTTTCCTGATTTCTCAATTGCCTTTTTTCAGACTTTGGACTTAAAAATAAATACTTTTTTGGGGGGCAGAAGGGGGAGAGACGCTGTGAAGGAATTTTCACGTAGAAGCACCACTCCCACTGCTCTAACTAGTCCTTTTTCTCATCCACCGGTAAAACTGTACGAAAAGGGTTGGAAGAATCCGCTGTATCAACACACTAATGATATTTTTGTCCTGTGTTCTGGCCACAATGTGCTTATTGATTCACAGTGGAATCACATGGTTACTCAATTATATTATGTGGTAAACTGCATTTTAATAAAATTCTAATGAGACAGACATAGTCAGAGAATGCCAGCAGAAGGGGAGTGTACCTCCTGGGCAAGTACTTCTCTGTAGGTCATTTGATACCAAGGACAGACTCACAAACCCAAAAGGATGAACATGAAAATGATGAGCAGGGCTTTAAAAGAAGGAGAACTTTGAAAACAGCAGTGAAGATGCAGGAGAGGAAAAGTTGAGGAAACCTAAAATAATCTCGCAAGTTCTGACTTACACTTATGCCACCATGAGTCTGCCTTGTTAACAGGGGCTGGGGGATGGGGGCAGGGTGTGTGGGGGAGGGGGAACCATCATTTTCTCAAGGAAAACATCATTGATTGACATGTCAGTCCCATGATATGACTCATGATGCACTGATATTCCACTCCATGTTCTAATTCCAGAATCTAGTATCTTCATGCAAAGAGTCTTATTTTAAGGGAATAATTTATTAATAAGAAGGAGGAGCTCATTACATTCAGCTAAAATATATTCAGGAAGGTAACTGGGGGAACTCCGTCATTCAATGGAAAGGACCAATTAGCACCTCAGAGCCTTCTTCCCAACGGGGTAACATTTCAACACTCTTCCTTTTGCGCAGTGCTCAGTCATGTCTGACTCTTTCACAACCCCATGGACTGTAGCCCACCAGGCTCCTCTGTCCATGGGATTTTTCAGGCAAGAATACTGGAGTGGGTTGCCATTTCCTCCTCCAGGGGATCTTCCTGGCTCAGGGATTGAACCCGCGTCTCTTGTGTCTCCTGCATTGACAGGCAGATTGTTTACCACTGAGCCACCAGGGAAGTCCCTTCCTTTTGAGTTCCAAGTTAGTTTTCTCTATGATTTGTGACAATGAGTACAAATGAAAGGAGACAAGAAAATGCAGTTGCAAACTTTTGTTCACATTCTCAACAATGCCAAACTCAGTATATACATTTAATTGATTCATTATGTTCTGATGTGACTTGACCTGTGTTTGTTCATAAGCAACCTGCCCACCAGAGAACTTTCTTTCTCTTCTTCAATGTTTAGTTGAAAGCAAAGGCATTTTTAATATTGTTAAATCTATAGCTGTTCCTGGAATAAGTAACACGTTTTTAGTTCTCCTTATCACCATTGAAATTATCTAAAACATTTTAAAGCATTAAATCTAGTTTTGAAGAGAGGAAGTAACCAAAACAAAAAGTATTAATCTAGGAAAAACATTAAGAATTTAGGAAAAACATGAAAAAATCATCAGTGTGATGATGGAAAGTTTACTTGTCAAACAAATTTATATGAGCCTCAGATTCCTCTTATAAATGACTCTTTTCCTGATTATAAGAGTAACAGAATCTTATGTTAAAAATCATGAAAAAATGCCTAAATGGATGTAGAAGAAAAACATTATCCATAATTCTATATTAAAAATCATGAAAAATGCCTAAATGGATATAGAAGAAAAACATTATCCATAATTCTATAAATCACATATAACAACTGTTAACTTTTTGGTGTATTTCTATTCATTATGCATATGCATTTTTACAAAATTGGGTTCCAATTATAAATAAAGATTTGTGCCTTGTTTTTAATCACTTATAAGTGCCTTTATTATAAAATATTAAATATAATTCAAAGTACACTCTATTTTTGTATCCAATATTTGAAATTATGTTTTAATAGCTTTTTAAAATAAGAAACTGCCTTGTATTTTCATTTTTGTTTGACTCAGTTATTTGAGGTTACACTTTTAGAATAAGAATTATTGAATCAAAGAATAGAAAGTTTTCTAGGCCTTTGGTGTACTTAGTCACACAGCATTCAGAAGGCGTATCTGACTACAGAGTTAAAAATTTAATAACTAACCTCTTTTAACTCATGCATTAAATCAAATAATGTACATACGCTGATTTTTCTGCTAACTATGCTGATAAATTCGTTCCCGTTTTGCTAGTTGTTCTTATCTTGAGTCACAGGTGCTTAGGACCAAGTGGTCGGCAGAAAAACTTTTGGAGTGTCTTGACCGAAGGCAGACAACCACAATGGCCATGAGTCATGGGAAGGTTAAGAATAGTCGCGCCTGCTCAGCGAAGCCTTGGTCACATAGCCCTGCCGCCCCCGCCCTCATGATTCTCCTTAACTGACCTACCCTCTTTCAGAGAGCAGGAGGGTAGTTTTCAAGATACTAGTCTGCAACCCTCCTCGTTTGCCGGCAAATTAATGAATTTCTCTTTCCTTTGTCCTCACAACCTTATCCTCATTACTCTTTTTTTTGTTATTTTTTAAATTATGAAGGTATTGATAACACATGTATAAGAGACTTGGAAAATACTGAACAAGGTTACATTTAGTTCCACTATATATTACAATTATCTTTTTAAGAAGATAAATTAAGATTTTTAGTTAGAGTTTCAATATCAAACACTCAAAAATTAATAGAATGGATACACAGAAAAGTAGAAGGGTATTGTTGATGTTTAGTTGCTCAGTTGTGTCTCACTTTTTGCAACCCCATGGACTGCAGCCTGCCAGGCCTGTCTGTCCAAGGAATTCTCCAGGCAAGTATACTGGAGTGGGTTGCCATTTCAGTTGAAGGATCTAGTAGACGTGAAAAGCACTATGAACCAATTCAACATAATAAAGATTTATAAGATGTTCACACACAATAGGATACAAATTCTATTCAGGTTTCCATAGACCATAAAGTAGGAGACACTAGAACATATCCAGGTTGTCCTCATTACTCTTACTCAGCACTGGGGGCAGGGACCGAATTTTCTGTTACAAAAGGTTATACCAATTTATTTTTTAAAATTTATTTTTAATTGGAGGGTAATGCTGCAAGTGCTGTCTCATTATCGGACCACCCCCCCCCCCCGCCCCCAGCCACTTCTGAGAGCCAGGAGCAAGCACTGCAGCACTGCAAGCAAGAGTCCCAAGTCCCAGCATGCCATTATCAGGCAGGAAGAGGGAGTCTTTCGTCTTGGACTCTGCTATTACGAGTACAGGTTGTGCACCTGGGGCAGATAGGGCAAAAAAGTCAAACCAACGGCACAGGGTGGGAAAGCATTAAAGTGCTATCTTTGTCACAAGGGCAAGTGACAGACACCCACCCCAGCCCCCTAAGTCTTCAAGCGTTGTCTCAGGCTGCTTTACTGACGAAGGCATTCTTCAGAGCGCCTCTGACATCCTTGTTGCGCAGAGTGTGGATCAGGGGGTTGAGTAAGGGGGTGACGAAGGTGTAGATCAGGGCGATTTGGCGGTCCTCGTCCTCCGAGGTGCCGGACCGGGGGCGCAGGTAGACCAGGCTGCAGCAGCCGTACTGCAGCAGGACCACGGCGCGGTGGGAGGAGCAGGTGGAGAAGGCCCGGCGGCGGCCTGCCGCAGAGCGGATGCGCAGGACGGCCGAGCCGATGAGCACGCAGGAGACGGAGATGAGGAGGAAGGGCCCGGTCAGCGCGAGGCTGCCCACGACGCAGAGCGCAGCCTGGCGCACGCGGGCGTCCGCGCAGGCCAGCCGCAGGGCCGGGGCACGCCACACAGGAAGTGGCGCCCGCAGAAGGGCAGGGTGAAGATGAGGGTGTCAAGTTGCAGGGAGAGGCGGAGGGCCAGGCCCGCCATCCGGACGCAGAGCTTCCGGGTCACGATGAGCGTGTAACGCAGCGGGTGGCGGATGGCCACGGAGCGGCCATAGGCCATGATCGCCAAGAGGAAGCAGTCAGTGCTGCCCAGGGTGACGAAGAAGAACATCTGGGCCCCACAACCAGCCAGTGGGATGGGATTCTGGGCCCCAGAAATGTGGGAAAGCATCAAGGGTACCGCCACGGTGCTGTAGCAGATTTCCAAGAAAGACAGATTGCATAGGAAGAAGTACATGGGGGTGTGCAGGGAGCCGTGTGCGCGCAGCACCCAGATGACGGCTGTGTTGCCACAGAGGATCGTCAAGTAGAGAGCGAGGAAGAGGACGAAGACGAGGGCCTGGAGTTCCGGGGCGCTGGTGAGACTCGAAACACAAGCTCCGTGGGGCCGGACTGGTTGAGGACAGGACTCCTGGCGAACATGTCCCCTGCGGAAGAAGACCAGAAGGTGCTCGGACTCCCTTTCCTGAATTACTTGATTGTGCGAGTAGAGTCAGGACTTAAGGTTTTGCTTTTGATTTGGAATTGCCTATATAGTGTCCAGTTTCCAATCTCAGTGTTTGGAAATGAATTCACAATCGAGGGGATGGTACATTCTCCCTTGGAAATCTTCATGAATGGGATAGACTCTAATCTGCAGAAGTTTCTGATGACAGAGATGTCTCTTTTTTTTTTTAACTCTGGTATTTAAAATCCAATTGACAAGGGCTAATTCTTTGCTTTTATTTAGCTAAAGAGTTATATACGGTTGTACTTTGTTATCTGTGGGAAATTGATACCAAAGTCCATGAAGGCTTAAGTTCCTTTCATAAAATAGGATAGTGTTTGCCTATAACCTACACACATCCTCCCATATACTTTATATCCTCTCTGCTACTGCTACTGCTAAGTCACTTCAGTCGTGTCCGACTCTGTGCGACCCCATCCCTGGGATTTTCCAGGCAAGAACACTGGAGTGGGTTGCCATTTCCTTCTCCAACGCATAAAAGTGAAAAGTGAAAGTGAAGTTGCTCAGTCATGTCCAACTCTTCCCCACCCCATGGACTGCAGCCTACCAGGCTCCTCCGTCCATGGGATTTTCCAGGCAAGAGTACTGGAGTAGGGTGCCATTGCCTTCTCCGTTATATCCTCTCTAGATGGCTTATAATACCTAATATAATGCAAATGCTTTGTAAATAGTTGCTGGTGCCCTGAAAATTCAAGTTTTGCTTTGGGGAATTTTCTGGAAATTAAAAAAAGTTCTCTATTGCTGATTGGTCAAACCCATGCGTGCAGATCCAACATCCGTGAGATCATTGTAAAACAAGAGAGTTCCACAAAAACATCTACTTCTGCTTCATTGAGTACGCCAAAGCCTTCAACTGTGTGGATTGCAACAAACTGTGGAAAATTCTTAAAGAGATGGGACTACCAGATCACCTGACTTGCCTCCTGAGAAATCTGTTTGCAGGTCAAGAAACAACAGTTAGAACTGAACATGAGACAACAAACTGATTCCAAGTCAGGAAAGGAGTATGGTGGAGGCTGTATACTGTCATCCTGCTTATTTAACTTATATGCAGAGTACATCATGAGAAATGCTGGGTGGGATGAAGCACAAGCTGGAATCAAGATTGCCGGGAGAAATATCAATAACCTCAGATATGCAGATGACACCATCCTTATGGCAGAAAGTGAAGAAGAACTAAAGAGCCTCTTGATGAAAGTGAAAAAGGACAGTGAAAAAGTTGGCTTAAAACTCAACACTCAGAAAACTAAGATCATGGCATCTGATCCCATCACTTCATGGCAAATAGATGGGGAAACAGTGGAAACAGTGACAGACTTTATTTTGGGGGGGCTCCAAAATTACTGCAGATGGTGACTGCAGCCATGAAATTAAAAAAACGCTTACTCTCTGGAAGAAAAGTTATAACCAACCTAGACAGCATATAAAAAAGCAGAGACATTACTTTGCCAGTAAAGGTCCGTCTAGTCAAAGCTATGGTTTTTCCAGTAGTCATGTATGGATGTGAGAGTTGGACTATAAAGAAAGCTGAGCGCCAAAGAATTGATGCTTTCGAACTGTGGTGTTGGAGAAGACTTGAGAGTCCCTTGGACTGCAAGGAGAGCCAACCAGTCCATCCTAAAGGAAACCAGTCCTGAATATTCTTTGGAAGGACTGATGCTGAAGCTGAAACTCCAACTTTGGCCACCTGATGCGAAGAGTTGACTCATTGGAAAAGTCCCTGATGCTGGTAAAGATTGAAAGCAGGAGGAAAAGGGGATGACAGAGGATGAGATGTTTGGATGGCATCACCGACTCAATGGACATGAGTTTGAGTAGGCTCTGGGAGTGAGCTGGTGATGAACAGGGAAGCCTGGCGTGCTGCAGTCCTTCGGGACGAAAAGAGTCAGACATGACTGAGTGACTGAACTGAACTGAACTGAACTGATGGGTGCAGAACATGTGGATAGGGAGGACTGACTCTATTAATAAATTGTAGATATTTTCAAAATTAGGTAAATGGATGTATTGTTTACATTTTTGGTAAACATTCTTTTTGAAATATAGCATACACAGAAAGAACTTCACAAATTCTAAATGTACAGTTTGATCTGTTTTTTACACAGTAAATGTGCCAGCATAAACTCTATCAAGATTAAGAAATAGAAAAATTCTAGTAACCTACAAACATTCTTTATGTCTTCTCTCAGTCTTTATGCTTCACAAAGATAACTATTCTTTTGGCCTTATCACTGAAGATTAGTTAAACTGTGCTTCAATTTATATATGTAATAATAAAGTGTGCACTTTATTGTACCTGGCTTCAACATTATGTCTGCAGAGTTAATCTTGCTGTTTTGTATAGCAAGACTTTGTCCTTTCCACTGTGTTATAGTATCCCATTTTTTTAATGGCTAAACTATAATTTATTCATGAGTTTTTCACTTTTCATCCAGTTTTGACTCCATATGAAACTAGGCAAACATCTTTTATTACAACCCTTTCTGATATATACTCTTTGTGTATTTCCTCTCATTTGAATATATAAAAAAATTTTCAACCATGAACCTAAATTTTTAAGACTTGGACAAATTCAGATGAAAGGAACATGTAAGGGAATCAGGTAATAATGAAATGGAGTTGCCTGAGGTAAGAAAATAAAATAAGAAAACTAAAGATGCAACAGCAGAATTCAAATAGGCATTAAAACCATCAGGTGAAAACCATCAGGTGAATCAGTTTTATGAGGGAAGGGGAAAATACATGTCAACTAAGCACTTTTATATTAGAGTGGGCTACACTTTTATTTTTGATACAAAACCCCAAGAGACAATAGAGCAATGTCTACAGATTTTAAAGAAAAACAAATTTTTGTGAAAGAATGCTATACCCAGGCTTTAGAGCTTTATGTTCAAAAGCAACAGAAAGACTTTCTCAAATTTACCTGGGCTTAGGAAACATGGGCATACCTTGGAGAAACTGTGAGTTTAATTCCAGACCATAGAAATAAAGCAATTATCATGATAAAGCAAGTCACAATTTTTTTTGGTTTCCCAGTGCATTTAAAAGTTATGTTTACACCATACTAGTCTATTAAATGTGCAATAATAGCACTATGTCTAAAAATGTGAAAGTGAAAGTCTTGGTCAGTCTGTCGTGTCCAACTCTTAGTGACCCCATTGACTATAAAAATATAGACACCTTAATTAAAAAGTGGTTTATTGCTAAAAAGTGTTAACCATCATTTGAGCTTCTGCCACTCATAATTTTTTTGCAAGACTAATATAAAGATCACAGAAAACAGATCACCATAAAAAAATAGAACAATAATGAAAATGTTTGAAATATTGCAAGAAATTACCAAAATGTGACACAGAAACAAGTGAGAAAATCCATTGGAAAATGACATCAATAGACTGGCTCGATGCAGGGCAAGCCTACAACTCGTCAAACAATGAAATATCTGTGAAGCACAATAAAGTGAAGGGCAATAAAATGAGGTAAGCTTGTGAGAAATGGAATATTTCCTGTTTTATCAGTAAATAAGGATGTCACAGTCATCAGCGTTTCCAGTGTGAGCTGGTGAGCCCTGAGGGACACAGAAAGGAGAATACCTGCCTTCTAGCTGCCAGCAGACCTACGGTCACTCCCTAAGGTGAGCCCCAAGGAAAGGAAGCTCAGGATGTGAAAACACAGGAAACTGGCCCCAGATAGCTGAGGTGCATGTTAAAGGGATGATTTCAGTGAACCCAGACTCTTGCATTTTCCCATACATAGACAGGAGCTAAATTCCTTAGCGTGAGTTACCTGGTTTTCTTTAATTAATAATAACCTTTAACTTTTGACATCCAGACTACCTGCCCTTCGTTGTAAAACTTCTGTATAACCTGGCTTGTCCCCTCACCTCCTTGGAGCAGTTTTCAGGGTTACTTGAGATACTGTCTTGAAGTCCTAAAAATTCCCACCAAATGAAACATAACTCTCAACTTTTATGTTGTGAATATTTTTTAAGTTGATACTTGCATGCCATTCAATTTAAATACAATTAAAATGTAATATTACTCCAAGATGGCAAAGTAGAAGGATGTGCGCTCATCTTCTCCTCCTAGAACTCCAAAATTACAGCTCACTGCTGAACAATCTTTGACGGGAGAATGTTGGATCCCGCCAAAAAAAGATACCCCACATCCAAGGGCAAAGGAGAAGCTCCAGCAGGATGGTAGGAGGGGTGACATCGCATTTAGAACCAAACCCCATACCGGCCAGAGACACTCAGAGGGTCTACACAAACCTTCTGCGCACCAGGACCCAGAGACCCCACAGAGATTGAGCCAGAACTGTGTCTGAGCGTCTCCTGCGGAGGTCCGGGTCAGCAGTGGCCTGCCGCAGGGGCAGGGGCTCTGGGTGCAGCAGACCTGGGTATGGGATAAACCCTCTTGGAGGAGGTCACCATTAACCCTACCCTAGAGCTGCCAGAACTTACAGACTGCCAGAAATGGACTCTTGGAGGGCACAAACAGAACCTTGTGCATCAGGACCCAGGAGAAAGGAGCAGTGACCCCACAAGAGACTGACCCAGACTTGCCTGTGAGTGTCCAGGAGTATCTGGCAGAGGCGTGGGTCAGCGGTGGCCTGCTCCAGGGTTGGGGGCACTGAGTGTAGCAGTATATGCGTAGGACCTTTTGAAGGAGGTCACCATTATCTTTATTACCTCCACAGTAGTTTGGCCTCAGGTCAAATAACAGGGAGGTAACACAGCCCTGCCCATCAACAGAAAATTGGGTTAAAGATTTATTGAGTATGGCCCCACCCATCAGAACAAGACCCAGTTTCCCCCTCAGTCAGTCTCTCCTATCAGGAAGCTCCCATCAGCCTCTTATTCTTCTCCATCAGAGGGCAGACAGAATGGAAATCACAATCACAGAAAACTAACCAAACTGA